CAGGACTGTATCTCTTCCCTTGGGTTTCAGGAAGTAATGAAAACTCTCCCAAGCCAGACCCAGAGGGACAATGGCCAAGCCCTGAATTCAGGCCCCAAGACTAGCACACATACCAAAAACCAAAACCAAAAACACCGTTACCACCCCCTACCCCCAGCAAACCCAAAGCACTATTCCTCTGACTTTCCTTTCCTTCTCATCCTTCAATGTCTGTGGTCCTGAGATGTCCTTCAGCCTCTTCTTCCCAGGTTTTGTGATCTATTTTCTACATAACACTTCAACGTACCTGTCCCTGGTTCCAAAACTCAAACACCATGCCTAGTTCAATCTACCTTTCTCTCAAGACTCAAGCTGTCATTCTCCGTTTCTTATGAGATATTTCTACATCAGAATTGTCTTGCCATTTTGCAAGCCACAGTTTACAAAATGAAACATTCACCTTTACTTGAAAACCTTCTCTTTCTTTTGTATGTTTATTTTTGTACCAGAGCCTGAGTGCCGTTCCTTAGCTCTTTTGCTCAAGGCTAGTATTCTACCTCTTGAGCCACATCTTTACTCCAGGTGTTTCATTGGTAAATTTAAGATAAGATATTATTTTTATTTCTGTATCCTTTGTCTTGCACATAAGTTTATCTGATTTGCAGAAGAGAAGGGGAATCACAGAAATGGTGGGACAAAGGGTGAACCAATGCAACAGTGAGACTCACTAGACACTGCATTGGAAATGAACTTTACAACTTGAGGGAGAGGGAGGTGGGAGGGGGTGAAGTGGGAGAAAATGAGGGAGGGGGTAACACTCTTCAGAAAGAAATGTACTCATTGCCTTCCTTATGTAACAGTAACCCCTTTGTACATCACCTTGGCAATAGGAAAACTGAAGTACTTTCCTGTTCAGTCTGGCTTTAAACCTCAATCCTCAGATCTCAGCCTCCTGAGTCACGAGAATTAGAAATGTGAGCCACAAGTGCCCAGCCTCCAAAATATCCTTTACTTCTTTATCATATTTTTAATGGTGCAAGCATCTTCACACTTGAACTTTCTAAGTCATTGTTGACTTATTCTCCCTGCTTTGACCCCACTGACCCCAGATAATCAATAATGCATTTCCATCCAACATCCCAGTTATGTCTCTTTGCCCTCCGTCCAGTCTCTTAATTGGCCTTCCTACTTCTTATTTCTCCCTGTGCCAATACACCTGATATATTAGCTGCCTAAATCACAATTTCTAAAATCACCATTCAAAGCTTAGTAGAGTGCTTGCCTAGCATACATGAAGCCCTGGGTTTGATTCCTCAGTACCACATAAAAACCATTTCATAGGTATTTCTGGGTTGCAAAACAGGAAGCAGAATCCTTATCCCAGCACTTGAGGCTTTCATTCACCTGCTCAGTGCATCCTTACTAAGTGATTACGATATGCAAACTGCTATGCAAGGAACCATCTATCCACAGGAGACAGTTGTAGTCTACATGAAGTTTTCTTCTTCCCAGTGGAGAAATAACAAACAAGTAAACTTGAGAAGTATATTACTCTCTCAGATATTGGTATCTTCTATAAATAAAAATGAACAGAATAAGGATTTAAGGAACAATTGACAAAGAACTACTTACATAAGATGATCCAGATTTCCTTTATTAAGTACATTTTTATTTTTAATTGACACAGTCATTATGCATATGTATGGAATATAGGCTGACATTTCTATAGAGGTGTGCAATGCATAGTGATCAGAGCAGAGTAATTTGTGTATCTATCACCACAGGCTTTTTATCATTCTTTTGTGTTGGGAATATTCAAAATCTTCTTTACTATTTTGAAATACTCAACTAATGACTGGGATTACTGTCAACTACAATTATGTCAACCTTAACTTTTCTACTGTGCTATAGAACATTGGAAGATAGTCTTCCTATCCAGTTGTACTCCTGCACCCATTAACCAGGGATGGTCTTTCAATCAGGGATGGATTGTCAGTCCAGGGATGGATTGAGAATTAAGTAGCTCTCTGAACAGAGACCAAGGAATAAAAACAATCCAGAAAGAAAATAGCAAGTGCAAGGTTCCTGAGACAAGAGTCAAGAAAAGGGTTGGTGTGCTAATGAACAGGAAGGCAGACACAGAAGCAGAAGGAGATGGCAAATGGTGAGAGAGCAAGCTAGAAATGGGGCCAGAGACCCACTGGGGAAAGTATTTATTTAGGAAGCCATAGAGAGGAATGAGACCTGTTCTAAGGAATATGGGAAGCCTGTTGAATACTTCACTTTTAGGAAATCATTTTTAGAGACACTCCCTAGGGGCTGTAGATGCAGCTCAGCAGTAGAACTGACTAGCATGTGTGAGGTTTAGGGTTCCATTTGGAGCATTGCAAAAAGGGAAGAAAGGAAGGGAAGAAGAAGAGGAATGGAAAAGGAAAGGAAGGAAGATGGAAGGTGGAGGAAAAGAAGGAAAGAGAAGGAAGGGAAGGAAAAAGAAGGGAAGGGAAAAGAAGTGAAGGAAAAGGAAAGGAAAAAGAAATTGTGTCCAAGCTTTAATAGATCTAGTTAACTTCCTCTTTCTCTATTTTTTTACTTGTATTATAAATTGAAAATTGTTGTTGTACATATTTATACAGTGGAATAATTAAATCAAATAATAGGGTATCCAGTACCTCAAATACTTACTTTACTTATTTTGCGATTAGAGCATTTAAAGTATACACTCAGTGATTTAGAAGAGCAAGAGTCACTATTAATATCTGTCTTCACCATTGTACTCCCAGCTTCTTTGAGTTTGATTGTATTAGATTCTACATGCAAGGGAGAAAAATGGGTATTTGACATTTCATACCTGTTTATTTCAAATCATCTCATTAGATTCAGGAAAGGCATTTGACAACAATAAATTCTAAGCAAATTCAATATAAAAGGAACACAGTACAGTGGACCTCATGTATGATGGTTGCCACTAACAAAATACTAATATGAAAATGTGTGATCCTTTCCTCCAAGATCCAGGACAAAACAAGGACGGGTACCACCATGTCTGTTCAACACAGTACTAGAAGTCCTTGCCAAAGCAATTAGACAGGGTAAAGGAAAAGCATTCCAGTAGGGAAGGAAGAACTAACAGGATCACTGTGGCCTGATGACTTGAACTAATAGACAGAAAACATAGAGATAGATAGATAGATAGATAGATAGATAGATAGATAGATAGATAGATAGATAGATAGATAGAGATGTGTATAGATAGCACACATACACTGCTAGAACAAATAAAAATTCAGTCAAGTGTAGACACAAAATCAACACACACAAAAATCAATTGTGACACTAACAAGGAATTTTCTGAGAAAGAAAGCATGAAGACAACCTCACTTATAATAGCTTCAAAATAAAATAAATGCTTAGAAATCAATGTGATCAAGAAGGTAAAAAATGTGTACAGTGAAAACTATACAACCCAATCTATATCACATTTTCCTGACCCATTTGTCCTTTGAGTGCATCGGGCAGATCACATACCATGGCAATGATGAATAATGCTGCAATGACCATGATTGTGCTGATGGCATATTAAGCCAGACCAAGAGAAACAAAGGTTGCATGGTTTCCCTCATTTGTAGTAGATAAAATATATCTATAAATCTATAAGTAATACTGGGCATTGGAGGCTCATACCTGTAACCCTAGCTACTCAGGAGGCTGAGATCTAAAGGTCCCAGTTCCAAGCCAGCCCAGGCAGGAACGTTCATGAGACCCTTATCTCCAATACATTACCAAGAAAGCTGGAAGTGGAACTATGGCTCAAGTGGTAGAGTGCCAGCTTTGAGCAAAAAGAAGCTCCGGGACAGTTCCCAGGCCCTGAATTCAAGCCCCAGTACTGGGGGGAAAAATCTCTTAAGTAAACACATCAGGTGGTATGCAAGTGCTTACAAATGAATTAAATGAAGTTAAATATGTTAAGTATAACTTAAGTATAAGTATAACTGTTATGTTATATGGCACCTCCTTTGTACAACTACTTAACAACAATTAAAAAACTTAATTAATAAAAGAAATTGAAGGCCTGAGAATGTAATTTAGCGGTAGAGTGCTTGCCTAGTATACACAAAGCCCTGGGATCAATTCCTCACCACTATGTAAATAGAAAAAGTCAGAAGTGCTGCTTTGATTCAAGTGATAGAGTGCTAACCTTGAACAAAAAGAAGCTCAGGGTCAGTGTCCAGTCCCTGAATTCAAGCCCTAAGCCTGGCAAAAAAAGAAAAAGAAAGAAATTGAAGATGCTGATAATGTTCTTCAAGCCTACCATGTTTCCACATAATTTATAATTTCCAGAACCATCCCTGTGTGTTCTTGCTGCCTATGCAGCTGGCCACCTTTCCCTTCTGCTCCTTGATCATTTCTGCCTCTCAAAATATCACCCTGCCTTCATATTCCAGGTACAATGACAGTTCCCTAGTTAGGCCTCCTCATTTTCCAGGCTGGTGCCATCAGTCTATTTCAGGAATTCCTCCAGCAGGTTAATTATTTCTCCATCATAATCCCTGCGTCCCTTTATGTGGTGTTTTATTTGTACATTACACTCCTTTCTTACCATACCATAAATACTCTAGGACAAGAACTATGTACCTTTCGTTTTGGTTGCACTGCAAATCATAACATGTACCTCCAACACGCCAGATCTTTGGAAAATGCTTTGCCAAAGTAATGAATGGACATTCACACAAATTGTGGTTTGGGAGGCATTCCTAAATCTATAGTGCTGTCACAGTGCATCACAGATGATTATCTGCTTACTTACACTGTCTTTGAATATACTTAGACAAGATGGGGAACTGTTTCCTTAAACAAAGAGAAGTTCTGTTCTGCATCATGGAAAATTAAAGCTCGGTAATAAAATGCGTCATCGGGCCTTCGTGAATAATGATTTAGGGGAAATGTTGCTTTACCTTCTATTTGTAGGCCCTAAATTCCCTCTCCAATACTCAAGCTGGATTTTCTGTTTGTTTTGATTTTAGATTACATTGACAACTATTGGATATGGAGACAAAACTCCGCTAACTTGGCTGGGAAGATTGCTTTCTGCAGGCTTTGCACTCCTTGGCATTTCTTTCTTTGCACTTCCTGCCGTGAGTATCTTTGCAACAATAAAGCAGCTCTAATTAGGTCGTAGAGGTTTACTGGAGTGAGCTCTCCTAAATTGGCATGCTTGGAAACACAACTGATATTATTGCCGTCTCTTTTTTCTAGTAAAATGTTGACTTTTCTAAATATATCTAACTAGAGAACTTAGAAAACACAGTCTTGAGACTTTAATAGCAGCTAATTCAGATGGCATCACCTTCTGTCATTAGACCAATTATTTTAAATGTTGGTAAAGAGTGCCAGTGGCTCATGCCTGTCACCTAGCTACTCCGCTACCTCCTAGCTGAGGTCTGAGGATCAAGAGTCAAAGCCAGCCCAGCTCAGAAAGTTCCTGAGACTTATCTCCAATTAACCAGCAAAAAGCTGGCAGAGTAAGTGTGGCTTGAGTGACGTGAAAAAGCTAAGGACAATGCTCTGAGTTCAAGACCCTGTACTGGTGTGCGTGTGCACGTGCACACGCGCGCACACACACAATGTCAGTACATATCTAAATATACCTTTATTTAAAACTGATTGCTCCAGTTTAGCTTGTCAAGTATGCTGTTGAAGAGATAGCTCTGCAGAACTGCAGGATTTTCCTCTTCAATTCTACTTGAGTGAAAAGCATATGACCTTAAGTGTTTTGAAGATGTCCAGTGATTTATTTTTGTGTCACTGTCACTGACGTTTGTTGATGAGCATTTTCTGCCTCCAGAATGAGGAGTACATTGATCTTTCCCCCATGCTGCTGATTATTCTCTTCTTGATGGACAAAGCTTGTCTTTCTAAGCATGTGATTGTCTGGCTTCTTTAAAGGTAGATGATCAGAATATTACAATTTGCCTGTTCCCATGAGAATGGGGATAGCTCTTGGGAGCCCAAAGAAAGAAGTCCTGAGCAGTGGCAGGTGTGCCTGAGGAAAACAATCCCAGGCTTGCTCCAAACACAAGTAATGCTATGGTACAGGCTCTGCCAAGCCAAAACCCAAAACCCGAGAGCAGCCTGCAAAGGAAGCCAGGTCAGTCGTGAGGTCAGATGGGGATTTTCAACAGCACAGTTTTGAGCTCACAGGCCTAAAGACCGTCTGTTGTTAATGAATTCAGAGGACATTCTCACCCTTCCCAAACACAGCGGATGACTGCAGATGGACCAGCTGGTTCTACTCCAGACCACTCAAAAATCACAGAAAAGAGCCTGAAAAGACTAGGCGCATGCACAGACATAAGACCTCCACATGAACTCTGTCTCATACTGTTAGACTGTATTTGTGTGTGAAGGCTGCTGTAGCAAGCTGGGTTCCAAAACAATAGAAATCAACTCTCCTGGTTCTTAGAGGTTAGAGGTGTCACCAAGGCTTGACCATTTTGAGAACCATGTGAGGAGAACTGTTCTAGGCCTCTTTCCTTGGCTTGTCAGTAGCTGCTGCTTCTTGTGTCTTCATATACTCTGTGTCTGAATTTCCTCATCTTATAAGGGTAGCAGTCATACTGGATTAGAGCCCAGCCTATTATGCTCATTTTAATATGATTATATCTCAGCAAAGGCCTTGTCTTCAAATAAGGTCACATTCTGAGGTATAGTAGATTAAGATTTGAACATATGAATAAGAGAGCAGAGCTTCAGCAAGTAATTTTGAGGATGTTTCTTCATCAGTATGATTGAGGGTTAATTCTTAAGCCTAGACAAATTCTTCAGTAAAGAATATGATCATATAAGTCAAGCGATTAGTATGGATAAAACTCAATATTATTTACATCCACCAGTAAGAATATAGAAGTATACATTTCCTGGTGTGAAATGGTGAAACAAAAAGAATGAAAAAAAAAGAAATCATTTATCTGGAATTAACTCATATGGCAATCTCAACAATCCGGAACAAGGCATAGGTTCACTATGATAAGATTCCAGATGTAATAATCAGATTCCTTGCAAGAAAATCCTTTAGGAACAGTAAAATTCAGTCTTAGATTTTTTTCCCCCTAAAATAATGACACAAAATACTTTTGGCTTTTGTGTTTATGTATACCTTGAGGTCACATATAAGATGAATATACAATCATATATACATTGTCCCACAGAACAACTACTTGAGACCTAATTCACAGCCCGACTTGCATTATCAGAGACAATTCTGAGAAGTTGACCTATATAGTTTCATAATTCTTTGAAAATTATAAACACTTAATGTAGAGGGAGGTTGCTAGAATCAACATAACAACAGGAACAAATTATGGAAAGTGAACAACCAAAGAAGTACAGATAAGCATGTAACAGACAGGCAGACACAAGTGTTCCAAGAATTTCACCAATTAGGGTCCGCCTACCTCTGGGAGCTGGCTACAGCCAGTCTAGCAAAATACTTCTGCCCCAGAATGAAACTCTGGCACATTACAGGGAGGTTAAATGTGTCACTGTGTTAGGTTAAAGGTTAGAGAGTTAAGTAGTCTTTCTTGGGGATGTTTCCAATCAAGTGGTAATATTTTTATAGATAAATTAAGTCACTACAGTGTTGGCAATCTGACAAATGCACTTGGGTAGAACAGAACATCTCCTAACAATGCCAAGAAAAGTGGCCTCTAGGACCCCTCTTTCTGCTGCAGCCTTACTTTGGAGCTGAGTGATGGCTTTGTCCCATGAATACCACCTTGTAGCCAACAGGACTGACTGGCTGAAATTTAGGAGAACATGTAGTCATTTTGCTGAAAGGTGGAGGGGGGTTGAGAGAGGCTCTTATGTTTAGAGTTCCTCCACTCCAGAAACCTGAGGACCAAAGTTTCCCCAAAGTTTCCAGGACTTTCTCTGCAGTCTCTTGCCCCCCATGGCAAACTCCCCCAGGGATCACTTTCTGCCCCATTCCTTTGTGGCATCCAGACAATCTGATCTTTGTCCTCTCAAGGGCACCCCTCCCCAACTTTGCTGAAAACTCCTGCTACAAGTAGGGCTTTACTGATTTTTTAAAAAATTCAGTTTTGTGACATTAACCAGGATGCACTGGACTCCTAATCTGACATGATGAACTGAAATTCCTTTCTACAAGGAATTAAAAGTGATTTTTAAAATTGTATAAATTTGGCGGGGGTGGGGGGGTGGGGGAGAATTTTGGCTAGGTACTCGTGGCTCATATCCTGTAATTCTAGCTCTTTAGGAGACTGAGACCTGAGGACTGAGTTACAAAGCCAGCCAAAGAAGAAAAGTCCAAGCGCTACATTTCCAATGGACCAGCAAAAAGCTAGAACTGGAACTATGGCTTAAGTGGTAGTGTGCCAGTCTTGAGCAAAAAAGCTGAAGGATAGTACATGAGTTCAAACCCCAGTACTAAGGCGCGCGTGCACACACACACACACACACACACAATTTTTTTGAGTTTCATAGGAATAGAATTCTTTGAAAGATCCAGTTAATCATTTCAATCAAGGACCAGTCCTCTTTGACTAACCATTCAATAAATGAGTGGATGTCACAATCTATAATCACTAACAATAGTAGCAAATATAATTATTATATAACAGAAAATATTAATAACATTGAAAAAGTCTTTCAGCACAGGGTGAAGGTGTCCAGAAAGAAACATACTCATTACCTGACTTATATAACTGTAACCCCTCTGTATATTGCCTTTATAATAATAAAAAAAGTTTATTGATTAAAAATATATTTTAGGGCAGGGAAGGTGGCTCAGTGGTAGAGCGCTTGCCTTGCATGCCTGAGGCCCTGGGTTCGATTCCTTAGTACCACATAAGCAAAAAGAAAAAAGCCGGAAGTGGCACTGTGACTCAAGTGGTAGAGCGCTAATCTTGAGCTGAAGAGCTGAGGGACAGTGCCCAGGCCCAGAGTTCAGGCCCCACGACTGGACCCCCCCAAAAAATATATATATATATTTTAAAGAGTGGAAAGAATCTTTCAGCATCTCTTTCTCTGTCATGTATGATGTACAAATTAAGTTTTTTCACTCTGGAACATAAAGGGAGGTATATATTTTAAATAGTTACCAAAGCAATTTGTATGTTACACTTTTCAGCCTGTTGCTATTACTTGAAGCTCAACAATGTAATTCTTGTTATCCTAGAAAATGAGTGAAAAGAAAGCTCAATTTCTAAGAATTTTCATCTATTTGTGTCAGTATTTGAAGGGACAAAACATGTTCAAAAATAAGTCATGTTGTTGATATGTGTGTATGAATATATATATGTGTGTGTGTATGAATATATATATATATATATATATATACAATATAACAGATTTTAACAGATTTCTAGTTAGGCACATTTCTGAGCTGTACACTAAGAAAGATGTAGAAGAAAGCTGGAATGGAGACATAATCAGACGATAAACAGACCTGATCATCATGTGCAGTCTGCCACAAGAGATACGTAGCAAACAGTTGCCACCTATTAATGTGTGTTTCTAAGCAATGACAATGTGATTTTCAGCATATTTTACTTTGATAGATGCTGAAGTTGTGCTGTATACCTGTCTTCATTTTCCAAAGGTATATTTAATGCTGAATCTCAAATCCACACAATCAGTGCTCAAAAAAATGGAGGCTAGAGCACTGACTCAATGTCTGCGTAATCTAAATTATACTCCATAACAGTAGGTTATATACAAAAATGCATATAATGTATGCACTATTCGTGTATACTATTATTTCCTGATATATATCCTGACATTTTTATTCTTTCCTACATTTCATTCTTTGTGGAAAATGAAATTAAAAGAAAAATAAATCAACAAAATTGTATACAAAAGAAAAATGTAGGAGAAGCAAACAAACAAAGTTGGTATGGATTTAGAAATGAAAAGCCATTTTTATAGTCTCCAAGTAGAGGAAAATATTATTTAAAATTATAAACCATGACCTAGAAACCAGGTTTTTTATGAAGCTTAGTTTGTGTAACTACAACCTGTCTGAGAAGATCTCTGACAGCCTGAGACACACACAATGAAAAGAGGAGATGAAGACCAGAACCTGTGATGTAATCGCTAATTTCATGGCACAGTTGTTTACCCTAATTAATAATACAGTAGGTCATTGCTCACTAATACCAAATTGTATTATTTTTATAACAGTGTTTTTTTAAACAAGATTTCATTGCTTATTGTCTGGTTATTGTCACAGAGATACTCAGAATTGAGAAATCCCAAGATAAGAAGGAAGGTTAAAGGTTATCTAGAGCTCAAAAATATCTCAGCCAAGTTGTCACCCAGCCAAGATTTAACATCTCCTAGAGATGGAAAAATACACCAGCTTTCCAGACATCCTTGCTATCCTTGAGTTACTTTAAAAATAGAAAGGAGAGGAAAGCAGCCACCCTTTACCTATGACAAATACTGACTTAGTTCTTATAAGATGCCCATCTCTAACCTGAGGGTTAGACTCCTTGAAGTTTAATAAAAAGCTAATAATTTATAGCTAGCAAGTAAAATTCACAAACTTGAAAGCATTAAAACTCCAAGCCCCATACTAATAAAGCTGAAAATACAGATAAAGCCCAGAGATGGAATTTAACAAGGCTCTGAAAACCAACCCAAAGCTAAGACAAAAAGCATCTTTATTTCACAAATGTTACACCAGAACAAAGTGGGAAGAGATATGTACATTAAAGAACCAGGACTTGAGCAGATTGAGATGAAAAGCAGAATAAACTAATGTCAACAAAAGATAAAACTGTAAGATTACCAGCCCTCAAACCCAAATAGGGAAGCCCAAATCAAAAAGGAAAAGAATTACAGATTAAATGCAAGCTTAGAGCTGAGCCATAATGACCCCTGCTCTTGTCTTTATTGTATAGATAGAGTAGGTGAAACGCCTCTCCTCTTCACAGTGAATGCCCATTTGTCTCATGTGGATAACGTCTGTCTTCCTTTGACTTCACTTTGGTAGGTGTAGAATTATAACATCATAGATGACTACCACTGGGATAGATTAGAGCCTCCATTTTTTCTCCCCCATTTTATGGATGGAAATATAGCCTTGCAGATTCTCATCATAGTGATAGATTTGTTCCCACAACACCCCCAGCTCCATCCAGAATCAGAATTCATACCCTCTAAATGCTATCACTGGATGAGAGTGCTTGCCTAGCATGCAGGAGGCCCTGGGTTCAATTCCTCAGCACCACATAAGCAGAAAAAGCTGGGAGTGACACCGTGGCTCAAGTGGTAGAGTGCTAGCCTTGAGCTGAAGAGCTAAGGGACAGCGCCCAGACCTAGAATTCAGGCCCCACGACCAACAAATAAATAAATAAATAAAAAAGAGAAGGCCACACACAAATTTTAATTGTCATTTTTATTTGCAATTATGAAGCTTCTTACTATATAATGAGACAGCAAATGACAGTGCATAATTTATTTGCTAAAGAAAGAAATTGTTATATCTTGTCATATCAGAGACCTAAAATACAACCTCCCAGGTAAGCACACACAGGTCATGTGCATATAGACTTGATATACAGGAATAAAACTCCATGGAGTAAACCCTTTGAATAATTGATAATCTCACAAAATGAGTATTGGGAAACTGAAACATCATTTGAATAGGTAGCTGGACCTTATGGGAGGGGAGTAGATAAATGGAAAAGGGAACAGGGGCACAGCAGATAGGAAAGAAAGATAGAAGGAGTGAGTGGTCAAAATGCACTAGACACAAAATTGGACAGGTTAACTCATCATCTTCTTAAGCATTTGGAGATTTTTAAATTTTTAATTTGTAATTAACTAAATAAAATTTTTAAAAAAGAAGCTGGGCACAAGGGCTCATACCTGAAATCCTAGCTACTCAGGAGGCTGAGATCTGAAGATGGCAATTGGAAGCCAGCTCAGGCAGGAAGTCCATGGAACTCATATCTCCAATTCACCACCAAAAAGCTGGAAGCAGAGCTGTGGCTCAAGTGGTAGAGCACTATTCTTTAGCAAAAAAAATCTCAAAGACATTGCCCAGTCCCTGAGTTCAAGCTCTAGGACTTGCACCAAAAACAAAAGTTGTTATATCTCTTGGTGATATTTTCCAGTAACATTCCATCATCTGGTGGTATTATAATAGAGACAAATAGTATTTGTTTTAGTAAGTAATGTGTTTATTATGGATAGGTCACACTCTTAGTCTTTCTTACAGACTCATTTTAGAGATTTTTTTAAAAAAATATTTATACTACTCAACAGTACTTTTGAAATTTGTGGGAGTTTTTATTCTATTTTTATATTTTGTTCCAGGGTATTCTTGGCTCAGGTTTTGCATTAAAAGTCCAGGAACAGCACCGCCAGAAACACTTTGAGAAAAGAAGAAACCCAGCTGCCAACCTCATTCAGGTAAGTGCAGTGGAATATAGGTAGATGGCAACATCTGTCTCCTTAAGTGTTTGTCAGATCATTTTCCAATCTCCACACTTCATTGCTTCATAGAGCTACCGTTCTGTCATTTTCTAAACAGTGAATTCAGAACTTAACATACAATCTTGGATTGGGTAAGATACATTTTTGTTTCAGCAAACGGTCATTGCATCGTACAGATTAGTTCACCACATCGGCAAGACTACACAGAAGTTAGTGGGAATGATGCTCCTGGAATAAGCTTTTATGTCTTATTCAGGAAGCCTTAACTAATCACTAAGTGATAGAGCAGAACATAGCATTGTTTTCTGCATTAAAATCATGTTCTCTAGTCATATGTATACAACAGTATTGAAGGACAACTTAGTTGTTTAGAATGTCAAATCTTATTGTCTGTGGAATTGCTTTTAATGACATGTAAGGCAATAAACTTGAGATAGCCTTCCTGTTTTGAAGGTGATAAGGTCATGGAAGACATCAATGTTTGAGAATATGAAACATAATCATATTATCTGATGCTAGTTCCTAATATAGATATGCTATTTAGCATTTCTCTTTTTTTCCACTAGCACATAATTTGCTTGAGCACTAAAATAAATGCTTCTCCTTTGCAATGTTTATCTTTATGTATGTGTGTACCAATTCTGAGGCTTGAACTCAGGGCCTGAGCACTGTCCCTTAGCTTTTTTGCTCAAGGTTAGCACTCTACCACTTGAGCCAGGGCTCCACATCTAGCTGTTTTTTTTCTTCTTAGTGGTTAACTAGAGATAAGAATTTCATAGATTTTACTCCCTGGGCTTACTTTGAACCACGATGTTCATATCTGAGTCTCTCAAGTAGCTAGGATTACAGGCATAAACCACTGGTGGTCTGTTTAATTTTTAGATTAACCTCTTCCACAACTATTGACTGGCAAATGGGCCTTGGTTTATGACTTCCAAAACAAACCTCTGAGAATCTCTCTTTTTTTTTAGTTTCCAGGCTTTGAAAGAGCAATAGAGAGAGAATACCTTTCCTTTCTTTTTCTTTTTCTTTTATGTATTTAGCCATTTATTTATTTATTGGTGCTGGTACCGGGACTTGAATTCAGGACCTCAAGCTCTCCTTTAGCTTTTTAGTTCAAGGCTCGCAGTCTACCACTTGAATCACCTCTGGCTTCTTACTGATTAATTGGAGATAAGAGTCTTGGATCTGTCTGCTTTGCCTGGCTTTGTACTGTTATTTTCAGATCTCAGCCTCCTGAGTAGCCAGGGTTACAGGCGTGAGCCATTGGTGCTTAGATCTTTTTTTAAAGGAAAAGATCTCTAAGTAGAAGAAACTTAAGCACTGCAACAAGAGCCTGGGTCTGTAGCTCCATGGAAGAGGACTAGTTCCTACATGCATGGTGTGGTGCTCCATTGTCAGCACTGATCCCAAACAATACTCATCTGAATGAAAGAGACTTCACACACTCTAAGACACACCCAAAATACTGGAGGCACAGAACTCACAGCCTCCCATCTCTTATCACTTAAGTGGCTCTCCATCCTTTCATTCTTCTAGAAAGTTTTTCTCTTTACTCTTCCTACCTTTAATTTTTCTTCACTCCAGAGCAATGTTTTCTAAGCCATATACTTCAATATCAGCTCTTCTTGGAGGAGCTTCTATTCATGCATCAGTTGTAAAGATCGAGACCTTCAATGCACAGTATAGCAACCACTAGTCCCATGCTGTTATATAAATATAAACTAATTAGAATTGAAATTTTAGTTTCTTTATGGTACTAAACGTTTCTCAAGTTTTCAATAGCTTCCCATTGCTATTGGCTACCTTACTACACAAGGCAAAGAGTAAGAATAAAGCCCAATTTTTCTAAAACTCTAAATTACCTAAAGCAATCACCAACTCAGAATGAAAATAAATCCCCTTTTCTATAGTAAATCATTAGAGAAAAGGCATTTATATGTATGCAATCAAAGTAAGACAAGTCTCCCATCACCAATAACTCATAAAAGGTAAATATGACACTGAACACTTTTGTTTGGAGGCATAGAGTTTTATTTCATGGAACTGGGTTACGTAAAATACTGTGATCAGTGATTGAACTTGTAAAAACGTAGCTAACAGCAAAGCAAAATCATGAATTCTATTTAGAATCCCAAAGTATGCATTGTATTTAGCAAAAGAAAATTGCAAATATTCTTTTTTAATTGTGAAAATACCATATAGAGGGGTTACAATTACATGGGCAAGATAATGAGTACATTTCTTATCAAGCATTGTTGCCTCCTCCTTTGTTTCCCCTTCCCATCCCTTCCCATTTCCCACCTCCCTTCCCCCAGCCAAAGTTGTAAAGTTTGTTTTTCGACATAACGACTTGTACATTTCATTGTTGCAATGGGTTCACCTGTATCCCTATTTAAACAATTTGTTTTTTCCCTTCCCCTTCACAAATTATACCAACATCAAATACAGTGAAAGCAGGGGTTAAAATGCTCAACATCTCTAGCCATAAAAGAAATGCAAATCAAAACAACATTGAGATACTACCTCACCCCAGTTAGAATGGCTATAATCAAGAACTCTAGTAACAATATATACTGGAAGGGATGTGGACAGAAGGGAACCCTACTGCATTGTTGGTGGGAGTGTAAACTTGTTCAACCACTTTGAAAAACAGTATGGAGGTTCCTCAAAAGACTCCACATAGAGCTCCCTATGACCCAGCAATCCCACTTTTGGGCATTTACCCAAATGATCACAAACAAAACCATACTAAAGCTACCAGCACAATTACATTTATTGCAGCATTATTTACCATTGCTAAGATGTGGAACCAATCCAGATGCCCCTCAGTAGATGAATGGATCAAGAAAATGTGGTATATATACACAATGGAATTCTATGCCTCCATCATAAAGAATGATATTGCCCCATTTGTTAGGACATGGAAAGACTTGCAAAAAATTATATTAAGTGATGCAAATATTCTTGAATACCTTTAAAATCTAATTGTAGTTTCATATGTCATAAAACTGTGGAACATAATTTTAATCAATTAAAGCTGAAGTTACACTGAGGGTATGGCTCAAGTGACAGAGGCCTGCCTAACAAGCACAAAAGCCTGAGTGTAAAACCCAGTGCTACCAAAAGAGGGAAGAAAATCAAACATATTCATTTGAAAAGCCACTTTTCCCATATTCAAATGTAATTTACTTCTTATATACAGTAATTCATTGCTTGTTCTTTATGTAGTCTTTGGACAGAGTTCAAGGCTTCAGGCCTTGATAATATGGTGTTCATTTGCTGATTCATTTGTTTTCTTTCCCAATAAACCTGAGCTAGTTTGCTGAACATACAAAGCAAGACCCAAAGCAATCTCATTTGCTTTAAAACAAAGCCACTTTTTTCCTACCAGGGCAAGTGAGATGGCCAAATTGCTCAGCATTTGTTTGGTGAAATAACTAAATTAGCCAGCATTCCAAAGTTTTGGGGGGAAGCTTTAAACTCCAGAGCTTGCAGTAAAGTTAGCTATGTCAATATCTTTGCAAGATTCATTTAAATTACCTTTTCATTTCAAGTGGAGCCGTGTGGGAAAAGAAACCAGCTCTCAGTAGCATTTGGAAAACCAGCCCAGATGTCACAACTTCTATGCACTCATGAAGTACTTTTTTTTTTCTAAGTGCTTCCCATATATTCTGTCATTCAGTCCTCCAGATAAGCTGAGAAGGTGCTAGGACTAAAATCCATGTCGTCTAAATCCAAATCCATCTCTCATTTCAACACAAAGTATCCTCCTACAATCCTAGCTACTTAGGAGGCTTTGTTGTTCAAAGCCTGGACAAGAAAGTCCCACAGATTCTTATCTCTATTTAAACCACCAAAAACCTGGAAGTGGAGCTTTGGCTCAAATGGTTGTGTGAAAAAAAGCCAAGTTCAGGCCTGAGTAACAGTATAAAAACAAACAAAAACAAACAAACAAAAAGTAAAACAAAAGGAGCTGGGAAGGTGACTCAGTGGTAGAGCACTTGCCTTGCATGCATGAGGCTCTGGGTTCGATTCCTCAGCACCACATAAGAAAAAAGAAAAAAGCCGGAAATGGCACTGTGGCTCAAGTGGTAGAGTGCTAAGCCTTGAGCTGAAGAGCTGAGGGATAGCGTCCAGGCCCCACCACCGGACCCCCCAAAAAAAAAGTAAAAAAAAAAAAAAAGTAAAACAAAAAAGTTCCGGGTCTGAAACTAACTACTGGAGACACTGAATAGATAAAGCCAGAATGCTTTACTAGAAAATTAAGTGAAAGTTTGTGAAATCAACCTTCCTTGGCTTACTTCCCTTCCAGGGGAGATTAGTAAAAGTTGGTCTGAGGAAGTATCTGGAACAAAATAATAAAATTGTGTATTGAAACTTTGGCTTCCTACAAAAAAAAATAATAGATCTTATCTAGTCACCCCAGAGTGAGGCTGATTGTCTATAAATCCAAACTACTTATGCAGATACATCCTCTTTACTGCTTCAATCCTACATAAGAATAGATGAAGAAGCGAGTGCTGGTAGCTCATGACTACAGTTCTAGCTACTCAGGAGGTTGAAATATGACAATCAAGTTTGCAGTGAGCACAGCAGAAAAGTTCATGAAACTCTTATCTGCAATTAACTAGCCAGAAATTGAAAGTAAATATGTGGCCCAAGTGGTATAGCACCATCATTGAGTGAAAAAAAGCCAAGTAAGCCCTAAATCCAAGCCCCAGTACTGGTACAAAAAAACAAAAAAAAGAATAGATGAATAGAAAAAAAAAATCCTAACAGACTGGGACATGGCTTAAGTAGTAGATTGTTCAGAAGGTCATGAGTTCCATCCCAGTACTGAAAAAAAAATTTACATGTGGAAAAGCTAACAATAAATAAAAATAAAGTTGTAAAATAATCTCCCAGAAAATTCAATAAAAAGAAAAACAAAGATGAAGCTGGGCATTGGTGGCTCATAACTGTAATCCTCACTA